TAACCGACTAAATTTTCAATAGCGATTAAAAATATACATTAGTACCGTCTCAATGACGCGTTCATCTAGATAAAATGGATAAATAGCAGATTTTTAGCGATGGGCCCAATCTTAGATCCATAGGCCAACATTAGAGCCATTTCCCCTATATAGAAAAAACAAACCCATATCAAATCACCATCGCAGTAGTCCTTAAATTATTTTCACTGTGCACGCTATTTCAAAACTACCCAAATTTGGGTAGATTCCACCCAGATCGGTCAAAACTGAACCTACCCAAAAATGTCAAACTTGTCACTTCAAACACAGTTTACCCATTTTTGGGTAGTTTCAGTTTTGACTGATCTGGGTGGATTCTACTCAAATTTATGTAGTTTTGAAATAGCGTTTGGTCCAAGGGGCAAGACAGCTCTTAATCATGAGCAGTTTCAGAGTTGCTGTTGAGGCACCTCGAGTAACTCACAATGCTCAGTGAGCAAGATCACTTTTCGCATCAAACCAACATTTGAAGGTGCGAAGCCAAAAAGCTGCTGTCAAACAAAAAAAAAGAAACATCCGGCGGAACAAATTATATGTACCCCGTACGCCATCTGATACTAGTCGAAGCCATCCCGTTACCACTGCTTGACAATCTGCCACTGGATAAAACTTCGATCCGAGCTCTGAAGTACTACGGCGACGTTCTGCTGCCAGCGGGCACCATCCCACTACTGGTGCTATTGATGTGCCTTTTGCATAATCGTGATATGGTGCGATACACCACCAAGATTCTTTTGCGGCCGTTACAGAAGTCTATATTTCTGCGTGTATATTTCCCTCAGATTTTTTTTTTGTTTTTCGTTAGTTTAATGTTGTACTTTGTTTTCCAATATGTATTCTATCCGGAGCATGTTTCTTTTTCCGATTTCTCGTCAGCAAAGTCCATAGCGATAATCATGTACTTGGTCAGATCAGATTTACTATTGGCTCCTTTCCTTTCACTTGTTTTCGTGTTGCGTGGATTCGGTTTCGTCCAGGAGATCAATGCTGGGATTGAAGTCCGGACGACGACCGAGGATCATACTCACCGGCTTCGGCAGTGGCTGCTGACTAGATACTCTGGCCTCTTCTATACCGGTGATTTCACGTTCTCCTCGGTGGACATCTGAAAACGATTCCTCTGGTTATTTTATGAGAACAAATAGCCTGTTTCCACCTACCTTCAGTTAATTCACATCCAACTTTTCGAGACGGAAGAGTACGAACAAAAATCACTTCCATAACAGTTAGACGGAGGTCCCCTTTGAAATCCTTCTTAGCATAGTTCAAGCCGTTTTCCGGACATCGTTTGAATAGCAGATCTGAACAATCTTACTATGTTTACAAACAAAACTGACGTCTAATATAAGATAAATCTTTTTAAAGAGAGTAAACGGAGTAAGCAGAGAGAAAAAATCGACGACTTCTTCTTCTTTTTCGCATTTCAAGCTTATTGCCTAGCGCATATTAGCTTATTGCGTGCTCTCAACTTAGTGTTCTAAATGCACTTCCACAGTTATTAATTGAGAGCTTTCGATGCCAATACCAATGCATGAATTTGTATATTGTGTGGCAAGCACAATGATACTCTATGCCCATGGAAGTCGAGAAAATTTCCAACCCGAAAGATTCCCACGACCGGACCGGGAATCGAACCCGCCGTCTCCGGCTTGGTAATACCGTGCTTTTACTGACTACGCTATGAGGCCCCTATCTTTATCTTTCATGTCCTGTTCAAATATGGACGGTTCTTTGAAGCTTCCACTCATGTAATTGGAAAATACAAAAATCCTAGACCACTTAAGAACCTAAAGGATCTTTCTGTCTACTACAGAGCATCCAAAAATGCGTGAATGATGAGGGAGTTGTTCAAAAATTGTTTTTTTTTAGGAATTCGTCCCACTAGTTACTGATTATTTGAAAGCAATGGGCCATCCTGTGAGAGCTGTTCGGCTCATTGTAGTAGAGAGAAGTTGCGAACAGATGACGGAGCCATATTTTGCCATATTATCAATAACCTTAATCAAGTCGGAATGGTCCTTAGCATTGGCTCCAGAATTATCTAGCCTGATGATTCTGATTACATAAAACTGCAAAAAAAGGTTATCTTCCATTTAATTCCACTTAATAAATTTTGGTATCCATGACAGATACGTATTTTGACTACAATGTGCAGTCTTTATCAGTGTTATTCCCACTAAAGAACTTATCAAAATTTAACCCCCTTAAGTACTCATCTCCTAGGTAAAAAAAAAGTCAAGATCACAGGTATAAAAATGAAACTACAATGTCCTGATTCGGAACCTACCTAACTAATAAAAACCAAAGATTTAAGTAAACTAAAGTAGAAAAATCTATACAACTCTCTAATAAGGAAAATCTCAAAGGCTTGGTAGTCACCATAATGAAGTAATGAAATTGGTTTGTAAAAATATTCTGAATATAAAAATAAAACTAGTTGCAAAATTCATGGAATTGCCTAACTCTGAGCATTTTCTTATTTTGATATGCTTAAGAGTCTTAAACTATGTTAATCATCGATTGAGTTTCCACTTGCTGCAATTACGGCCTCCACACGCATCCGGAATGCACGGTAGGTTCTAATAATGTAGTCTGGATCCATTTCTTTCCAGGTACGGGTCAATGTTTGTCTGAGGCTTGCTGTACTCGGGTGGCGTTTAGAAAAGGCCTTGGCCTTCATGACGCGCCATATTGAGTAATCCAGCGGATTAAGATCGGGGCTGGATGGCGGCCACATATCCTTCGTCCAGAACGGAAGATGTTCCTGCAACCACTTCTGAGTGCGGTTCGAGCCCCATCTTGTTGAAATATGTATCGATTTTGGCTTCGGTGGCTTGTCGCCTTCTGGAATGAACACCGGGTCCATTTTTTGCCATCGGAAGCAACCAATCTAAACACCATAACGCTAGCAGGATGCTTGGTCAGATACACGTTCTTGTGCTCGTCGGCCACGTCTTTTACCGGAAGAGAACTAATATACCGGTCGGTTCTGGAATTTGATACGGGATCGACGGTAAACATGCTCTCGTCGGTGAACAGGATTACCGGATTTTTTCGCTTAAGGAAGTTCAACATTCCGTGCCTCGACTTCATGCCGCAATCTTCCTTTACAATCTTCCGTGCCGTAAAGTCACTGATCCCGTGTTCCTTTGCCATTTTTCATATTGAACGCACTGGATTCACCCGAATCTTCCTTTTGATAGCAGCGATAATTCTCGGAACCCGAGCTGACCTCGGACGACCTGTGGCCACCTTCATAGTTGTCCTTTCTTTTCTCGGTCTAAAACCCTTTTGACGGTCCACCGGGACACTCTCACGGCGATTGAAATGTCTTTTTGTGACATTTGCGCGTGGGACAAATCACGATTACGCTGCAACTTCGTCATGGTGCAACTGTCAAACAAAGTAAATCATTTTCTTGTATACACAGCCTACTACGGTATGAGCTATAGGTTACGTGCATGCAAAGAAAACCAAGGCATTGTATGCACAGGTGAAACGGGAACCTTATTTGTACGATGGTGCATACATTATCACGCATACGATATAGTGTCTTTAAGAAAGTTGCTTGTTTTAATATTTTCAAAGAATGAACAGAACCCGTTTTAAAATCGATTGAGCTTGGTGGAGCAAAATCGATATTTTAACCACCGTTATATTGATGCTTATGTTATGCTATTTAGAAATGCAATGCACCACATTTCATCATACTTGCTATTAGATCATATTTTATTCCATTTTACTCAACCCGCTGAACCGATTTCCATAATTAAATCATCACATCGCCTTATCTGCTGCGTTAATAAATACATCTCTCCAACCTCTTTTTTGCTCGATTTAATTATGCAAAAAAGGCTTACTCTCACCCCAGTTCTGAGGCCTGTTCTTGTAAAGGAAAAATGAACCAAAGCTTACAGAAACGCTTAGGGCAAGCTACCATTAACCGCCAACTCACTAAGCCCTGCCACTGCACAGCCCACCACCCCCTCCGCACAAGACCTCACAGTTGACATGATATGTCTAATGCGAAATTGGTTTCGACTTTATTACATGAATTTTACATGAGCTCCATACGGTACGTTACTGAACATTGGCACATTGCATTGGTATGCACATGGTATCAGCCTACGACGTCGACGACAACGTCCATACGGCAGCCTGGTTGGGCTGCAAATTAGAAAAGGAAATGCACATGTAACGTCAACCTCGGCGACGATGAAGAGAATGTTGGTTACGTTTGATTGCGATCTTTCATTCATGCCCAGCAACGCGCAACGCAGGTATCCCACGACCAACGACGGCCGACCGCGAACTAACCGATAGATTTATTTGACATGTGTGTGGCATTAATCCTATTAAGATAGCTCTCTGTGCGCAACCGGTGGATTTTTGTGTTTTTGCAATTATGATTTATTGTTTTCGTGGGTTCAAGCCGTTCGCGCTTTGTTATCTCGATGATTTGTTGATTTGGATTTGAAATGTTGTGCACTCGTGAACGGGGTTCGTCGCTGAACGCGCATTGAAGTCTTTGAAGGAAAATCCAACCTGCCGCATGCAATTGGTTCATAATTTTCACCCAGCTGGGCCAAATTTATGTGAAACCCACCAGTTTCCTGCTCTAAATACCTGCCAATTTCATAACATCGCACCGACATTTCCACCATGCGGTGGTGTGACTTGCAAACCGCTGCCATTTATTCAAATATTAATGTGTTTCTACCGGCGGGTAACCACTGCCGACCGCGTAATGCGGCTGCTGTCCAAAATAATTTAGCTAATACATTTTAACTACATTTGCAGTGTGTATGCGCGCGGGCAGGAGTCATAAGTACAATTTCCCGATGCCTTTCAGTTTCGCTACTCCCCATGTATCATAAACCTGGCCAGTAGTGGTGCCGGAGCACGCGGTCTCCTATATGCTCACCCGCTGACCACCGTACGTCTGTATCGAAACGAAAGTGAAAATGTCGAACAAAGCGAAAATGTTGTAACCCTACCGGTGGTAGCAGCGGCACCAGCAATGGCAACGGCAACGACGACCTAACTCTAAGTACCCGAGCAGCATGACGTGTACGGAAGACTGCACCTGCAGTCTCTGTCGGGAGTTACGCGGATACAAGCTAAAAGTAAAACCTGCGAGCAAGTCGGAACGTTCTTCCGGGAACGGCGAGTGCTCTTCGGCAGCCGGAACTCGACTGCAGCAGCAAGGGTCCAAATATTGTAAAAACAGCAAGCTCAGCCGAAACGATAACTTTATTCTGAAGCGACGGATGTCTTCGGACTACAACAAAGATGGCCGCCATGGTGCAGCCGCAGCACCATCGGCGGGCGCTTCTACGACGGAAATAAACTACGAGTTCCCGGAGACGACGTCCGTAACATCACGGCAGCTAAACCGCATGAAGAAAGCCCAAAGCTATAACGAAATATCCTGCTTTGCAAAAATCAACCGGAACAGATACAGCGGTGGAAGCGTGATCGATCCAAAGATGATCAAAAGTACCACCAACCTCACCGAAGAGGATGACTACTTCAGCTATCTACCACCGTCTCCGCCTCCAACGGTCTCTGCCTCCACGCAAAACATCAAGAACAAGATCGAAAGGCAAAAGGATCACAAAGTGATCATTTACTTCGGCGACAGCATAGGTCAAAAGAAATCCGACAAAACCAAACCTGCTCCACCGACTCCTCCTCCACCAAAGACTACGGAACTCAATGTCTTCCACGCGCAACGCCTTTGCGAGGAAACTGCCGAAATGAACTTCAAACGGCAAAACTCCATTATCGTTAAACCAAAGCGTAAAGATACCTCTGATCAGCCAAAACCCGGAAAGGAATTCATGCAACAGCTCAAATCAGTACTCGAAGAGAAGAAGAAGACTTCCGGTCCCGGAGCACCTACTGCTGATCCAATGGGACCAGGTTGCTCGGCAACGGTAGTGATAACGCAAAAGAAGGCACCTCCGCCGCCGCCGGAAAGCCAAAAAAAATCTTCCGCCACCGTTGTTGGTGAACAACTCCACAAACCGAAACACACCCAGGTAGTAGAGATCCGACGGGTAGATAAGACCGTAGCCACCGAAGAAAACACCGATCGATCCCTACCTCCATTCGTCGAAAGCGTCATCAACGGAGTCATCAACATCAAGATCGAAGAAAGCTTTAAAGTTGCGACGGATATCGTGCAGGCCGTGTTTCAGAACGATCCCGGTGAGGAAGGGTACGGGTGCAACGAAGACGAACCGGGAGATCCATTTGATTGGAGCTTCGTGCAGAACTGGCGGGCACGGTAATGTAGAAAACTAGTTTTAAGATTTATATATGACACTTGGTGAGCACATTAGAAACCTTATCCCCCTCCTCTGCAGACTAATTCCACTGCTATTAACTTTCACTAATCACTCTCTTTTTTCCCTTTCAACAGACCTTCCGGAACGGTTGCCAACGGACACGTGAACACACCGTCCAACAACAGCAACTCCACCTCCGGTGTAAACAGCTCCAGCAGCAACCTCCACAATGGTTCCAACGGACTGTCACCAGGTAATCACTATATTGCCTCTTCTAACCCGGTCACCTCCGGACCGCGGATTCAAAGTCCCGCTGTGGCCACTCCGGCTCCTCGAATCTCCAAGGAGATTGCCGTTCGACCACCAAACGGCAATCAGGTAGATCCTCGGAACTACAACCTGTCGTCGGTTCAAAGTCTACAACAAAGCGGAGAAACTACCGGTTCAAGCGCTGCCAGCAATAGCAGTAACCACAATCTATCCTACAACACCTCGGCCATGATCCCCGAACGGGACGTCGGCCCCAACAAGTTCACCAACGGTAGTAATCTCAAACAGCAACACCAGGCTCCCCTACACGGGCTTCACCTACAAACGAACGGAGCACTACCGTCGCATCACGCCGGACTCCAACAGCAACAACACCAACAACAACAACAAGGACCGCACAGGTCCGTATCGGGACCGACTAAACTCACCGTCCAAAGCTCCCCGGTTAAATCGCAACCGGCCATGATCAGCTCCGGACTGGACAAATCCAACCTCCAGCACAGTGCCAATGGCTACAATGCCAAGCGAATGAACTCAAGTGGCCTTACCAACAGCAATGATAACCTACTGAATTCGCCAACCTCCTCCACGGAACCACTGAACACCAGTAGCAACAGCTCCAGCAATGCCAGCAGTGTTAGTCATCTAAAGCAGCACTTCACACAAAACCATCACGCAATGCCAGCTTACCACCATCAACAATCGCAGCAGAACTCTCTAGGAGGACCTCCTCAGAAAGGTCTTAGCATTACTCGGACCCATCACCACACGGGGACGCACGACTTCCGTGGTCTGCAGCGGGTCAACGAATGCCACAGTTCATCAGATGAGAACCGCTCATCCGGGCACGCCTCCATGTCCGATACTGGACACGGAAGTAGCTCCCCCGGCGGAAACCGTGCCAATGGTCCTCTGGGACCACTACCGGAAGATCGCCTGGCTGCTGGAGTCACAAACCGAAGTGCACGCTCCCGGGCCAGCACAAATCATTCGCGATCCCGGCACCGAGCTACTCCTGCCAAGATCCCATGGGGAGGCGGAGGATTGGAAGACATAAAACTGGCCATTCAGCAACTGACGATGCGCTCCCATACCAGTACTTCCACGTACAGCAGTTTGAGTGCTGGGTCGGAGAGCTCCGAACCGGAGCGAAGGCTCGGAAGATACAGCTCGCTGGAAACTGTAAATACCAATGTAACTAGCGCCGATGAGTTCGTGTGGGTGGATTCGCACAATCGCTTGGTGGAACTTCAGCATCCTCCGTGGAGTCAGCACTGCGTACTACGGGTTTTGAGATCCGGTCGTTGCCGAGAGCACTCGGAAAGGGTTTCCGTGGAAGCGGTTCCTCGATTGGGTTACCTTCTGCAACGGGCTCTGGTTCGAGTTGCACGTGAAGTGCAACGCTTGTCTGGTTGCTTAGGCTTATGTTCAAAGCATGAGGTGTCCGGAGCATTTAAAATTGTTCTGTCCCCTGCACTGGCTGATTCATGTATCAAAGCATGCCTGCGTGCTGCAGCCATGTTTGCAGTTCCGGGGGACAGCGCTCTGAAGCAAAGTAAATCAGCCCGAGCAGGACTTCAGCTTCCAGTTGGAAGATTCCACCGGTGGATGGCCGATGCCAGGTTGGGTAGATTCGTACATGAATACGCCGCAGTCTACCTCTGCGCTGGGCTAGAGAACTTACTGGAGGAGATATTCCTGCAGTGTCTACCGACAGATCCAACGGCAACCTTAACGGCCAGTGGTCTGGAACATGCCATTGCCGGTTCTGGCGATCTGTGGGGATTACTGCAACCCTATGCTCACCTGAATGCAGGACGCGTCGCGTCCGGAGCACTTACCATGCCACGTTGGGCTAGTCAATCGTCGATCAACTCGAACAATCAAAGTTCTGCGCTAGAGCCATGTCTGCTAACGACCTGCGTTGGGAGTTTGAGCGAACTAAAGGATTTAGTTCAACGAGCACAGCTGAGAAGTCCACACGTCACAATGTCACAATCAGCCTTACGAGTATTGTTCTATTTTATGCGATGCTCGCAGCTAGAACACAACGACATCGGAGTCGCTACCAATGGTGGAGGAACGAACATACAGGAGCTATGCTACGAACGAGCCTATGTTGTACTGCCACCACTCGTGGAATGGATTCGTGTTTCCTCAGCTCATGCCGAGTACCGACATGCTCTGCTGATCGACAAGGATGATATCATGCAGGCCGCACGCCTGCTTCTGCCCGGAGTGGACTGTCCACCTCGATTGACCATTTCGGAAGAAGAGTTACCCTCGAAGAGACTTACTCTATCCAACCAAAGTATAGCTTCGTCGAATCATTCCGGCCAAACGCAACCACTACACGGGTCGCTGTCATCTACATCGTCTACCTCGACGACTAGCAGTAATATTGTAAGTATACTAGTTCCACGTGGTTCTTGAATTCAATTCTAACTTATTTGGCTTTTTTCAGGAGGACTCCAGTGAATGTGGACGTCGTGCAACCTACGCTCTGGCCTTCCGTTTGATGCTAACCGGCCGTGCTGAACTGCTTATCCAAGCACTGTCGTTGGTTCCACCAACAACCCGATACGACACGCTAAACCATCAGGGTTTGACAGCACTGATGATCGCTGCGGTCCGTAACGATGATGGTGCCATTCAAACGCTGCTGGATGCTGGTGCCGATCCAAATATAGAAGTTCCATCCGTGGGATATCCAAATTGCCCGGCAATTCATCCGGAAACGCAGCATTGGACAGCAGTTACATTCGCTGCCTGTAAAGGAAACTACCAAGCTCTCCGAACGCTGCTGGAACGAGGTGCCCACGTAGAGGGAGGTGCCCGCCTGAGCGAGGATAAGTGCACACTGACCCCTCTGCAGGTTGCCAGTGGTGGCGGCGTTGTGGAAGTCGTTTCGTTGCTCTTAGCTCACGGAGCACATGCCTTCCTATCTACGCAGCTGAAGGATTCACTGAGCTTCTCAGGCAGTGCCCAACGGGGTTGTTACAGGTAGGTTCGCAAACTCTTCCAAAGGTGAAGTCGTTCTAATTTCGCTTTTTTAAAACAGTGCTATCTCCGTTGCTGCTGCCCACGGACAGCGGGTGTCACTAAGGAAACTGCTATCACATCCGTTAGCTCCAGGAAGTCGTGAAGTACTCTCGCTGGAGGAGATGCTTGCCGAAGGTGATAGTACGAGCCGCACTCAGTTGGATCGACAGACGGAGACTCCACCAACTTTGAACAAAACGCAAATCAAAAGTCTTCAAGAGGCCATGTATCATAGTGCTGAGAATAACCATCTAGGTAAGATCTGCTTAGGTCCAGGATCTTGCCAATTTGATGTTAACCTCAAAATCACTCTAGATATAACGATTGAGTTGCGCGCACTTGGAGTTCCGTGGACCCTTCACTGTTGGATGCACGCCTTGGCAGCTGCCCACGAACTTCGGCTGGACGCAGTTATTGATCAGCTTCTGCAAGACTTCCTGCAAGTCTGTCCAGATGACTACAGTCAACAGTTCGTGACGGAATGTCTGCCTCTACTGTTTAACATTTTCCGCTACAGCAAGGTACTTTACGTCAAATTGTTCAGAAAATCTCAGTTTTTAATTAACTTAACTTCACAGAAGGAAGGAACAACCCTACTGTTGGCAGACATCTTTAGCACCTGCTTTGGCTGGGAACCGATAAAGGCAATCAAAGAACCCGTATTGCTGCCGTCAAATGGATCCAGGATTGATCCCAAGTTCGTCAACAACCCAGAGCTTAGTGATGTGACATTTAGGTAATTCAGAATGATCGAACCTATTGGCAGAAATACTAATCAAATTTGTTTACAGAGTCGAGAATCGCATCTTCTATGGGCACAAGATTGTTCTGGTGACCGCTTCGCCGCGTCTGCAGAGCATGTTGAGCTCCAAGTTGAACGAAGGCACCGGTACGCCAACTGTTCAGATCAACGACATCCGCTACCATATATTCGAGGTATGTTGTTAATGCAAGACATGAAATCGAATTCGTCATAAAAATGATCCAATGCTATATTCTTTCCAGTTGGTTATGCAATTCTTGTATAGTGGAGGTTGCAACAGCCTGGACGTAGCTAGCGGAGACGTGCTGGAGCTGATGGCAGCGGCCAGCTTCTTCCAACTCGAGGGTCTTCTTCGCTACACCGAGGCTCGCTGTGCCGAGATGATCGACATCGATAACGTAGTGGCAATGTACATCCACGCTAAGGTATGTAGGCTCGTTGAGCTTCAATAGCAGTAGCATAACCTAATTCACACTCGAAAACCCACCTCCACCAATAGGTCTACAACGCCCAAAAACTGATGGAGTACTGCCAGGGTTTCCTGCTGCAGAATATGGTCGCCCTACTGACATACGACGATTCGGTCAAGCGGCTACTATTCGCCAAGAAGATACCGAACCATGACGTGCTGAATGGACTGCTTACCACGTTGCAGGTTCGGATCAAAGCCCGCCGAAATGGGGCCAATGCGGCTCCACCCCTTGCGGTCAATGCAATGAGGCCACCGTCCAATAATAAAGCTAAATAAATTTTTATGTAGTTGATTTTTCTAACTGTTTTTAACTATTATGACTAACAATGTCAAAGTTTTGTGTAATATCTACGTAAACTTGCTAATATGTATATGTGCAACTTTAACAGTTGATTAGCCATTTAGAAGTATGTTCGAGCGATATTTATATAACAAAAATCCATTTAAAAAAAACTGTACATTTCTGTTAAACAATAACAACATTAGACTAAGAAGCTGAATTATACAAAGCAATTGCTGTATTTTAAAATCTAATGCTAGGTACATTTTACATACATTTACATACAACATTGAACAGTTTTATCTTTGGAACCTATCATAACACAATAAACATTCCCCATTATTCACACAATATGATATTTTTTTATTTGAAAGAAATGCTTATGAGGTTATGGGATCTATTTCCAGGGAATAAGGATTTTAGCGATATAATCAAATAGGAGCAGAAGCCGAGAGTAGATCCCGTAGGTTATTTTATAGACTCTCACAGGCAGTGTCATAGTGAAGCCCCTAGCAAACCAGAAAAATTAGGCCGCACGCAATACAATGAACCGGTGCGTCAGTGTTAAAATGTAAGCAAAAGCATCATCATACATCATCTGATATAGCTTCGTTTTCAGAGCACAACGATATTTTTATCGATCCCGTAGACATTCATCTCAATTTTTAAAGTAAGATTTACATTTTTGATCGTTGACACTAAATCTATTCGTTGACAGCTCGCTCCCATACATTGTGCCAAACCACCGTCCTATGTTCGAATGAAACCTCAGACCATTCAAATCAAAACATCGAAATCGCCTTTTCGAATGATAACTGCACCGTATGATGTTTTTTTTTAATTGATGATTTTCCTCTCCAATACAGGATGACATTGTTATGAAAAGGGATAGGGTCTTCAGTTGGAATGTGTCATTCTCTCTGCAAAATGGTACTTAAATTGAAATGCATTTGATATTGGTTCAGCCCCTTAACGCAAATCATTCAAAACGATGATGTAAATAATTCTATCGAACGTCATTTGCTTCTCTGGGCAGACTAACGAGGTGGAAGCAAAGCCATCGCTATCAGAGGTGGTCCGAACATTGGTAAAGCGTGGAGCAAGTTTCCTCTACCAACACTACATTTTTGTATCCATGATGAATGGCTGTTCATGGCTATTCAATATGGAAATGTAAACAATCGATCTAATCATCTAATCTAAAGCCTTTGCAAGTCATCCTATCCTAAAATTGTTGTCTTCTGAGCCTTGTATGTTTTACAGCCATTTTTCAAATAAATATCATCTTTCAGCACCCCAAAATGGTGAGGACCACAGGGGAAAGAGTATCCAACATAGCTCTGGTCTTTACAAGCTCCTACCTCACGCTTCCACGTGTCGGATGATGACAGCCAGTATATGCCCATATAATTGCTGGTAGCGGGGTGTGGGCAATGTCATCACGATTAACCCATATCGTGATGATAGCAAGGCTGAGGAGGTGCGAATCGTCGAGCGTCTGTTGACCAGGAGGTGCGGCTCGAACAGCGTCTGTCTGGGATCCAGCGGCTGAAAAAGAAATGCTGAATTGTGTCAGCTGAATCCAAGATGGCAGCCCCATCTACGCAATAACCCGAGCGTCTGTCCACCAGGAGGTGCGGCTCAAACAGCGTCTGTCTGGCATCGAGCGGCTGAAACAAGAAATGTTGAATCGTGTCAACTAAACCTAAGATGGCCGCCCCATCAACACGATGTAGGTATCGCGACCCTGGTACGGTAGCATACTGAATTATAAAAGTACTCAGAAAAATGAAGTAAGAAGAAGAAAAAACGAACGGAATTTTCGGCAACTGACCCAACGGCAACGAAATAAGGACAATGAATGGAAACTCGGTTCTTGGAATGTCAGAACGTTAAATGAACCTGGACGAGTGGGCCTTCTGGCCCGTGAACTGCAAAAGGTGAATGTGATTGTGGCTTCTATTCAAGAAGTACGGTGGCTTAGATCTGGAGAACGTGAATTCAGGGCGGTAGATCCTATCGCCAACACATCGTTCAAATAAAAGTTTCGTAGTGATTGGGAAACAGATGAAGCGGGTTATGCGGTGGAAACCGGTTAGCGAGCGCATTTGTGTTTTGAGGATTCATGGCAAATTCTTCAATTACAGCCTGATCAACATCTACGCACCGACTAACGATAAATCCGATGACGTGAAGGACGCGTTTTATGAAAGCCTGGCTAAAACCTATGGAGTGCCCTAAACACGGCGTGAAGATTGTCATCGGAGATGCAAACGCGCAGGTCGGAAGAGAGGAATTCTTTCGCCCAATCATTGGAACAGAGAGCCTTCACTCTGCAACGAATGATAATGGCCTGAAGCTGATAAACTTCGCTGCTGCTCGTGATATGGCCATCAGTAGCACCCACTTTGCACGCAAGGATATCCGAAAGCACACTTGGAGACACCCTAATGGCGAAACTTGCTCCCAGATCGACCACGTGTTGGTGGATGGTCGGCATTTCTCGGATGTCGTAAATGTTATCGACTCGGATCACTACCTCGTTGTCGCGAAAATTCGAGCGCGTCTATCGACCGTTACGAATTCTAGAAACCGGAGATCGATGCGTTTCAACATCCAGCGTTTGACAGTAGATGGTGCTTCAGAGTACCACCAGAAGCTGAATGAGCGGATAGCGGAAATCAACGTGAACGAGAATCTCAACAATCTATGGGAAGCAGTCCACGGAGCGGTGAGCACAACCGGTGATAGGTACAGCTCAGAGGCGTTTGAGGTGGTTTAACGAGGAGTGCCAGCGAGTGACAGAGGAGAAGAACGTCGCCAGAAGGCGGATGTTGGTGTATGGTACCCGTCAGAACAGAGAGCGGTACAGGGTAGCAAGGTCAGCCGAGAAACAAACCCATCGCACTATGGGCAAAAATGGATCCAAAATTACCCAAAATTCAATACCTCAATAGCCCGCTGAATTCCGGCCATGAAAAACAACTTTTCCGAAGGGAAATCGTCCGGGGAATCGATTACACGTGATCCCATGAACCGGAGAGCCTTGAAGGTATGTGTTTTGGACCATTTTACCCCATTTTCCCCTACTTTTTAGAGGAAATGTTTTTTTACAGCTCTATTTTTCGCGAGATTTTTCGTAAAACATAAGCACTTTATGCATGGTTTTAGAATACTATGTCTTCAAACAACAGTTCATGAGATATTAGGGGAATACGGGGTACACTTTATAGGGGAGTAAGGGGTAAAAGTGAAAATACAATCAATGTTTTTTTAATACAAAATCCATTTTTTTTAATATCATAATATTTTTATAAATTTTTGAAAAAAAATCGAAAAAAAAATTTATTACCGCCCTAATATATAAATAGTCATCCTAATGACAAAATAAAAAAAATACGGGTCTAATATGTTGCGATAAGGAACAAAACTACCAATTTCTAAAAAATTCTGAAAACCACTATATCGTTTTGCTGTATACAGACAAAAAAAAGTGAAAACTATTTTAAAACAGATAGCAGTAAATTAAAACTTATTTAACCCCAATTAACCTTAAAATTTCGAAAAAAAAATCTCATTATTGCAGGCAACCTTTAAGGTCATTAAAACAATCGCATCGTTCAACATTTTTATGAATTAAAATAAATTTAGCGAGGGTTCACTTTTACCCCTTACTCCCCTATAAAGTGTACCCCGTATACCCCTAATATCTCATGAACTGTTGTTTAAAGACATAGTATTCTAAAACCATGCATAAAGTGCTTAGGTTTTACGAAAAATAGAACTGCGAAAAAACATTTCCTCCAAAAAGTAGGGGAAAATGGGGTAAAATGGCCCAAAACACATACCTACAAGACTCTCCGGTCTATGGGACCACGCGCAATCGATTCCCCGGACGATTTCTCTTCGGAAAAGTTGTTTTTCATGGCCAGAATTCAGCGTGCTGTTGAGATATTGAATTTTGGGTAATTTTGGACCCATTTTGCCCATAGTGCATCGCAGGAAAAAAAGGCAGTACGAGGAACGCGTGATTGCTGAGGCGCAAGAAAGTATGGAGCAGAATGATATGCGAAGGTTTTACGCAACTGTCAATGGCGTGAGGAGTAAGACAGCGCCGTCTCCCGCCATGTGCTATGACCGTGAAGGTAATCTGCTGACAGATAAAACGATGGTGGCTGCCAGGTGGAAGGAGTACTTCGAGACGTTGCTGAACGGAGAGAACGAGAGAGCATCTACAAACAGAACACACATCGACGACGATGGTCAAGCTGTGGAACCACCAACGCTAGAAGAGGTGAAAATGGCGATACGAGAGCTGAAAAACAGTAAGGCTGTGGGGAAGGACGAGCTCCCGGCCGAACTTCTCAAACACGGAAGTGAGCAGCTGCACCAGATGATCCACCGTATACTGCTCAAGATATGGGAGGAGGAAGAATTGCCCGCTAGTTGGTTGGATGGTCTCGTTTGTCCCCTCTACAAAAAGGGACACAGACTGGAGTGCGCCAATTACAGAGGAATCACGCTTCTGAATTCGGCGTACAAAATATTATCACGTGTTCTGTTCAACAGATTGAGACCGCTTGAGGAATCCTTCGTCGGCGAATACCAGGCTGGTTTTCGTGAGGGTCGATCAACGACGGATCAAAAGTTTACCCTGCGTCAAACCCTTGAGAAGTTCCGGGAATACAACTTGCAGACTCATAATCTGTTCATAGATTTCAAGGCAGCATACGATTCAGTAAAGAGAAAAGAGCTATGGCAGATAATGCAAGAAAACGGTTTTCCGACGAAACTAATTAGGCTGATTCGTGCAACGCAGGATGGTTCGAAATCATGTGTACGGGTTGCAGACGAGATTTCGGCCTCGTTCGTGACCTTAGATGGGTTGAAGCAGGGAGATTCTCTTTCGAACTTGCTATTCAACAAGCCCTCGAAGGAGCGATTAGGAGAGCTGGCGTGCAGAGGAACTGTACCATCATCACAAAGTCGCACATGCTCCTTGGTTTTGCGGACGACATCGGTTCTTTCCTTTATTTAACGTCGGTCTCTGTTCCACAATCTAGTGCCAATCACCGACAGACATCGATTGCCATCCATTGACGGCCTATAGTAATGTAAACGGGGTATTACTGAAAATTTATGATGAAAAATTTGAAAATAGGGGCAAGCTTTATTTGGTGGAAAAACCTGCAACATTCTGATGATAGATAGCAAGCTACACTTCAAAAAAATGTAATATCGCCGGGATGTTCTGAGGCATAACATCTCTGATCACGCCTTCCTTCGGATGGGAAGTAAAGCCGTTGGTCCCCGGTTCATGAGTTGATGGGTCGATAGGTAGGGTCCAGGTGTGGGAGCTGCCTTCCTGGCACGTCGGTAGCATTGGTGCTCAGCACGGAAAACAAGATCGACGGAAAAAACAAACCAAAGAAAAAAAAAAAAAAAGCTGATGTATGAAATAATGATGTAATAACAAAAAGCTGATTCAATACTACATCAATGGATGTACTTTTGTTCGCAAAATCGATGTACATCGTACAACGTTATATTACACAACCGATGGACCTGGTTGCAGCAGTTTGGATGTAATATTCAACAACTTTTTTTTCTGTGTACAGTAAATATCATAGTTACAATGACAATGATTGTATTGTATTGTTTTTATAATTTTTTTTATTGATTTTTACATGATTTTTTTACGGGTGGTTTCTTTTATACTTAGAATTTTCTCGGGCTAGTGAAATTCCTCGTAAATTTCGATCAAACAATCCTCCCTAATAAAAAAATGTATGGTTATTTTGCTTAACGTCGGAGTATCAGTTAAACCATTTGTGGAACAGTTCTATGATTTGGGTTATCGTTTGCATATGGTATTTTTTATTAGGGCTGAACTTGCCCGAATGTCCCCCTCGAGGTCCCTCTTCTCTCTAACCGGTTCAAATCGCGCGCATCCCCTGCATTCGGCCCTGCGCAACGGTTATCAACCGGTTCAAGGAAAAAAGCAAAAAAAACACGAACTGTCATTTTCGATCCCAAACATTCATCATTTTTTAATGAAAAAGTTCTTGTTCAATCCCTCCCAAAATTTCGTGATAATCCGCCCAGAAGTGACTCTCGGACACCGCGATTAGCTGTAAACTGTTACTTCGATGGTGTTCTAGTGGTGGGAAGTGTTTTCAGTGCAAATTTCGACGGATTTACCTCGGAATTCGTCTTTCAAAATCGCGACTTGCTAGGAACAACACGAGCAGCGCGAGGAAGGAATGAAAAAAGTTCCATCTCGTGCATCAACAAAATAAAATTGAAAATTGATCCCGATCTGTGACACCCTTCAATCGAGAGAACGCGGAACGAGCAGCAGCATTGGCGCCGCTGGAGACCGGAATCGGAGTTCTATGAACACGGACAAACAGAGCAAAATTGACGGCGATTCCAGGTATGTCGGGTCCGCTCGGACGGGCCAAAACAAAATGCAGTCCATCACACTCGAATCACGAGTCCTCGTAAACAGCAGCAGCAGCACACACACGCACTGAATATTTGCAAATCATTTCAAGGTTCTTACTTTTGCGTTATTAGTATGCCTTTATTTCGTGTCTTTCTGCTCTTTTGCGTAGACTCCCGTTGTCTTGCGGACCAAGGGGACGGGAGTGCGGGAAATGTCGTCTCGTCCTTCCGTCTCGTCGCGGTTGTTCTTTGTTCTAAGGAAATCTCTCTTGTGGCTAGTTAGTATATGGGGGGAAAAAATGCAAACTACGTCGGCTTGCGCCAGACGTGGCGGAAACAATAGTCTTTATTTTTCTCGCACTGCGATGTGATTCTATTTTGGAGCGTTATGCGACTGCGAATGGGGAATCTCCATTCAGTGTGATTTTTTTATTATTATTTGGGAGGGTTAGCACCATCACCGAAATCGTTCTTCAGTTCAGGGTAGTGGGGTTCATTCATCCGGTTCGGTTCGGTGGTGGATGAGTTGAGCAGGTCAGTTTTATCGGAATACTCAACAGTCTGCCAGTGGCATCGCCACGATATTAGTTGGTATTGGATTTGTGCTTGGTTTGGGGATACAATCATTGAACAATGAGTCACCCGTACCTGTAAGTATTGCAAGAAGTGAGATTAAACTGTTTACTATGCTACTAGCTGATGCTTATCCATGCTTATCGTCCTACGCTGTTTGCAAACTTTTGTTTTCCTTTGTTTCGTTTGTAATTCATTAAGCAATCATGAATAAACCATTATTTGACAGAGTACGAAAATGTTGGGGATAGGAAAGGAATGTTAGTTCAACATTTACTGAAAAGATACAGAGCCGGAGAACCCTACGATCTGTCATAAATGTAACGGGAATTTACTACCCATTTGAATAGGAAATCAAGCAAAGCTCTTACTGTTATGGGCAGTTTAGGAGTTAGGTTAGTAGGGAAGGGAAGCCATAGGATACCAGCTTATAATGTCAAGAACTCAATATTCTATTGATATCAGGTGTGTTCTGCAGACTGCTGATATTTTGTTAAGATAATTGAAAAGTACATGAAGAAAGTGTAGATTAGTGGGAGGCGGTCCACCCCAAATGAGATGTAAGCAGGTGAGGCACAGAGAATTTGACGTCTCTTTTGGTCCTCCGCTGCTTGAATGGATGACGAATTTTTACGTTAGACAGGTAAACAGTGAAGTTACATCTCGTTGGGTTCACCCCTTAACCTTTTACGTATCTGACCTAGCGATCGCAAAATCAAATTGCTCTCATTTCATCAATTTTCAACCAAAACCAGGCGGTCAAAAATTAGACCGAATTTCATTACAGCTCTGGAATACCAAATCAGGTTCCACCGAATGTGGACCTTTTGGAGAAATTCAAAATATAATGTGTGACGTGACAAAGTTCATGATTTTGAAAGAACAAGTCGATTGGCATTGATTGGTTTCCGTTTAACTTTTGTAACCGTTTCAAACGTTCTTGAATCGGTTGGGCCTTTTAGGAGACATGTCCTTTTTGGAAGTCTCTCTAATATAGTAAAAAAATGTCCTTTTCTCACTAGAACGTGTCGTGTGTAGCGTTATGCTTCGTGATTTTGAATCAGGCATTGGTTTCCTTACTGATATGGCCACTGCGGAACATCTGGAACAGGTTCGGACTAGGCTTCTTTAGGGTCTACTATTTTTTTTATCATCAAAATATGCCGCGTGATATGTGACCACTGTGATCAGACTTCATGGCCTTGAATAGTCATGACAATAAGCATATATATTTTTTTAGATAGGGGAAATGACTCTAATGTTGGCCTATGGATCTAAGATTGGGCCCATCGCTAAAAATCGGCTATTTATCAAGGTTATCTAGATGAATGTGATTGGGACGGTACTAATGGATATTTTTGGTCGCTATTGAAAATTAAGTCGATTGCTGAATTTATGTATAGGCCCAAATTAGGGGCATTTAGGCCGATTTTTTTTTTTTTTTTCATTATTAAAGAGACTTTTAGCCTTGGGTTGGCGGAATTCCAGAGGGAAATTACCCTAACAACATAGTTTGGATCTCTGAGGGGATTTCCGAAAAGGGCGTGGGGCCTCAGAAACAGAGTTTTTAATTTGGTGGCCCTGGAAGGAACCTCCGAAAAGAGGGTGGGACTCCAAAAGGGGGTCCCGTAGTTGCTTAGTGGCTGTCTTCATACGGTCATTTTTTTTTTGGAGAATTCCGTTTTCGTTGCGTTGGTCTGTATAGTTGCTGATGTGGGTGGTTAGTTGTGAGATTCAGGTTCCGAGTGTGATCTGGTATGGTAGTGATGGTGATGGGGGGTTAGGTGATCAGATTAGATCGAACAGCCCAGCTCCCCGCAGGAAAGCTAGAAGGACTGTAATTCTAGTAGGATCGTTACCGAGAGCATCGCGTTCTTGGTGCTTCGTATTGAGCTTGAGCTTGAGCTTGATTGACCGCCCACGGTTGCTACTCTGTTATTGCCAGATCAGCTGTAATTACACAGAGAACCAATAGACGATGCTTGGGACTAGCAATCATCCTCAATGTGTAAAAACTGGTGATCTTGAATTAGGCAATACCAGCGCCGGCTGCGCCCGAACACAGGTCAAGAAAGGAATGGGAAGGATTGTGTTGACATGACACTCGCTTTAATGGAAGCCGAGAACACCTCTGCACTTCCACGAGGAATCACTGGGATGTTGGATAAGAGGGTTGGGTTTGCAGCAGGGTTCGTTTTGGTAAACGATAAGCTGAATTAATGTCCTAACGATCATATAAAGCGAAGGAGCTTGGGACTAAACCCACGGTCTTCTGCTCAGTAAGCAAAAACGTTTGCCACTAGGCAGACGAGCACCTTTTTAATCACCGAGTTGCTGTTATTACCATGTAGTCATATTAACAAATAAAACGATTGACGAATCTTGATTGTGGATGGGCCTGAGATTAGACTCATGATGTTCTGCTCAGTAAGCAAAAACGGTTGCTCTAAGGCCACCGAGCCCCTCATATCACATAATACCGTTGCTCAAATTTTTGTATCCATTCAAACCCGGAACCAACGACAACAACGAGTTTCGCAAAATACACGATACACAAGCGATTTTACTATAAATCTCTTTGATATGTAAGGACCTGGGACCGCGTTTTTCTGCTCAGTAAGCAGGCCACTGTAACCGACGATCTTTCAAATCCGAAAACTAAAAACTACGAAAAAGTACTTAGGCCTTCATTAAGTTCCACATTCACGCGACGTACAATGTTTCAATTTGCTCTTTACGTATTGTTCAGGCTAGGTCCTTTTCAAAATTTACGCGAGAAATACGCACAATCGTCACCTACATCGCAAAACTGGTTCCAAACGACAACAAAGGCATAAGCAACGATGGATTGTTGAACTTTGCTGGCTCCGGTGGTGTAGTGCACAGCAAAAAAAATGTAATATCGATCAACGTAATTCAAGCTGATGTATGGAATAATGATGTAGGGTAGATGTACCAGTCACGGCTATACGCTCCTATCATGATGTGCTCCAATCATGGCATATAGGATTTCCATAGGCCATGATTGGAACACACCACAACAAGAACGCACAGCCATAACTGGTACATCTACCCTAATTGTAATTTTGTAATTTATCCGCACACACCCTGGTCGACCACTGTAAACCAATCTGCCGTTCAGCGTTTTCGGTTTTTATTTCTGGATCTTTAGTTGCCTCTGTGATATACTTACTTGCGGCATACTATTTTGGGAGTGTATATGAGCGTGTACCATGTACGGTAGCTCATCTCTCATCGTGATGGTGGGACATAGTAGACAAATTAGAGAGAAAACAAGGAGGTATTAGTATTAGTTATATGTAAACAAACAAAACAAAAGTTAGATAATGCGGCACTGTAACTACTACTATTTTAGAGGTATGATTCGTCATGTTTAACTCAATGTTTCAATTGAGGCAAACTATCTATCTTACAATTACAAAAGCAAACCTAAACTTACAATTATATGCAAATGCAAAATGAAACTTGACAAATCATCGTCAATTCCCTTATTCCAGGGCAGGGCCTGACGATTTGAATCTAATTTTGATCAGTGAACGGGCACCATATGGTACATTTTCTCACCATGAACCTATCATTTCCAGCCTATCTGAACTATTTAATAAATGGAATCCATAACATGGGTTACGCTCCCCCTAAGCGGGCCCTCCGCATCCTGTCTCTGTCTTATCTCAAATACAAAATGCCAATGGTATGAATGTATCTATATATAACTTGGAAATGACGTACAATCAAATAAACCCGTAACCCACTCACTTGGTCAGGCTTCAGAATCGTCCAGTGGGCAGTGCACTCTACACTCCAAGTTCCCTTTTTTTTCAAATTTACCGCAAATTTGATATTTTACCCATTAAGTGTTGATTAGTCACAATGAAACATTGTGACAGAAGTTGAGGTTACTAGTGTATTAAATAATCTAGGTCCTATTTAGGATTATATCTGAAAAATCCAAATCTGGCCAACGCCCACCCTAAACCTAAACCTGTTCTAATCCACCTGAAATGACTAACGAATGGAAGACTTTGACTACCCAGCCATGCAATAGTCTCATTCCGTGCCTTATGGCAACTTGATGATTCTATTGCGCTCATCTTCTGGCACCACCCAGGGGAGACTTAGTCCTGTACCCAATGCTTAACTTATCTCCATTCCACTCAACTACTCGCAATTTCGTGTGATATAGTGGGCGGAATATTATTATATGAGACAATTCAATGCAGACGTCTTTCCAAATTTGGCAGATCGACAGGTAATCGGTGAGTTAGCACGATAGTTGCTATTCAACAACTCGACAACGTCCCATCGTCAACGCCTGCTATGAGAATTTCCCATAGCAGACGCCAACGAAATGACGTCATCGAGCTATCGATCAACTACCCTGGTTATCGCCTGGTA